GGGGGAGTGGGGGAGGTGGGGGGGGATAAAATCAACAGGTATCAGTCTAAGTTAGTTTTAGTAAGAGTTTTACGCCACCTGCGACACAAATAGGTCACATAAGTGCTGAAGATTAGAGGTGTTACCAGAGGGTAACATACAGAGGGAAGAAGGAGAAGAGATAAGGACTATACATAGATGTTTGATAGGAAAGAAGGAGGAGAGATACGGACGATAGATGTCTGATAGGAAAGAAGGCTCAAAACACAGCTGAGCACCCGCCAGCCACCCACTGAGATCCCCTTTAAAGTGGAACAACAGAAAAACGGAGAAAGTAAAGTGATGTTTTTGACTTTAAATTTTTAAAAATTTCCTTGTCTACACCTGAAAATACGAGTTCCTGGACGGAATCGCTCTTTCACCATGGTCTTTTCAAATGTGGCTGAGTGCTGGATTGTCACAAAAATGTGGGGGACTTTCATGAATAAAAAAAAATGACAGACAGTCAGAAAGAGCAGAAGGGATGGTGCAGACGTGCAGCTAAAGAAAAAGAGAAAAAAAGAGACCCCGAGAATAAAAGACAGAAAAAACAGGCCATAAAATAAAGACTAAAAAGACAAGAAGGAACTGACAGTGAACAGAAAAGATGAAGCAAAAAAAGAAAAAAAAACAGACAGTAAAAGAAAAAAAAAACAGACAGTGAAAGAAAAAAAACTGACATTTAAAAAAAAGAAGAAAAAACAAAACAAGACGTTGATAAGAAAGTGAAAAAAAGAGTGAAAAAAAGAAGAAAAAAAGAAGAAAAAAGAAAAAAAAAAAGAAAAAAAAAACCCAAACAGTGAAAAAAAAAAGACTGAAAAAAAATGTTTTTTTTAAAACCAGACTGAAAATAAAGGGAAAAAAAAGAAGAAAAAAAAACCAGACTGAAAATAAAGGAAAAAAAAAGAAAAAAAAAAAACCAGACTGAAAATAAAGGAAAAAAACAACGAAAAAACAAAAGTAGAGAGTGGCGAGGTACTCACCTGACACCCAGCGTCTCCATAGAGGGCAACACTTTCTTACACAGCTCAGAGTAGCTGGAGGGAGGGGAGGGAGGGTGGGAGGAGGGATGGG